CAAAGATGGACAAGATTGATTGAGGTAGATGCTGCTTCTAAATTTTTCACTTGGTGCTTAAGATCCAGTGGTAAGGCCACAGGGTGGCCTGGGCACAGTTCAGAATCCTAGGAAGTTTTAGGAGGATTGGTGGGTGATGAGGCTACCAAGAGCTACCAATATTAACTGAGTCAATAAACCATCTGTAGGATGATGGCGTGGTTCTGTCCTGTCTGTGGTCAGATCACACCCTTTCATAATGTTAAGTTCCAGAAACCTTACTTTAAAAACTGTGGGCATGTCATATTGTATCCAGAGAAGGGTCACCTGAAACTGTTCCTTCAGATCATGGGTTGAAGGACACGAAAGAGTTTAACCTGGAGATAAGAAGACTGGGCAAAGGCTGTCAACAGATTTAGACAGTAATAATAGAAGCCAAAATTGATTATGACTATAAACCAGGCATGAAAGGCCATTTGTATGTTTTCTTACTTAGTCCTTATAACAATCAGGAGATATAACAATAGTTATTGTATTTTATAAATAGGGTAATTGAGCCCCTATAGAGTTGAAAAGGAAGGACACACATAGCTGATAAGAGAGCCAAATTTGTCTTTATGTCATGAAGACCTGGACTCTTTTCTTTTTCATAAGACAATACCTCATGTAGCCCAGGCTAGTGTAAACTCACTATGTAGCTGAGGCTGGCCTTGAGCTCCTGATCCTCCTGCCTTAGCCTTCCAAGTGGTAGATGGACAGTGGGCTCCTGACACTGGCCACACTCAGCTGTGTGCTGAGTGACTGCTTGCTGTGTGTGAAAGGGAACAGAGATTGTATGAACTTTAAAATTCACCCAGCCCTGAGATTTCAAGATCTAGTATGTTTTCTTGGTTATCAGAGGGATTTTTTAAAATATGTTTATTTATCAGGCTGGGTGGTAGTGGTGCACACTTTAATCCTAGTGCTCAGGAGGCAGAAGCAGGTGAATCTCTGTGAGTTCAAGGCTAGCCTGGTCTACAAATTGAGTTCCAGGGATAACCAGACTACACAGAGAAACCCTGTCTCAAAAACCAAAACAAAACAAGAAAACCAAACCAAAACAACAACAATAAAAAAGACACCCCCCCACCAATTATGTGTTTATCTTATATGTATAGGTGTTTTGTCTACATGTATGTCTGTGAACCACATGTGTGTCTGGTTCCCTCGGAAGCCAGAAGATGGCATTGGATCCTCTAGAACTGGAATTACAGACAGTTGTGATTCACAATATGGTTGCTGGGAGTCGAACCTAGGTCCTCTGGAGGAGCAGCCAGTACTCTTAACTGATGAGCCATCTCTCAAGCCTCTTTTTGTTTTTAAATTTTTTCTTTTATGTGCATGGGTGGTTTGCCTGTATGAAGGTATGTTCAGCACATGCATGCAGTGCCCATGGAGGTCAGTCAGGAGAGGATATGGGACCTGCAGGGACTAGAGTTACAAACAGTTGTGATTTGCTATGTGGGTGCTGGGAGTAGAACCCGGGTCCTCTGGAAGAGCAGCCAGTGCTCTTACCTGCTGAGCTATCTTAACGGCTCCTGTCAGGAGTATTCCTAACATGTTTGTTTATTTGCCTTTTAAGACGCAGGCTTACCATGCAGTCTGATAACTCAATATGTAAACCAGGCTGGCCTCGGTTTGGGGTTGATCCTCAATCCTCTTGCCTCTGTCTCCAGTGTTCTAAGAGTCAGAGATAGGTGGATCCTGGGGGCTTGCTGGCTAGCCATCCTAGCCCAAAATGGCCAGCTCAGTTTTAGTGAGAGACTGTGTCTCAAAAACTAATGTGAGGATTGATGGAGGAAGATACCCGGACATGACCTCTGGCCTCCACATGGGCACATATAGGCAAATGCATTCAGATACACATGTATGCACACACTTAGAACAGAGAGAGAGAGAGAGAGAGAGAGAGAGAGAGAGAGAGAGAGAATGAGAGAGAAGAGAGAATGAGAGCCAACTCCAAGCCAAGCATGGTGGCACACAACTGTAACCTCAGCATTTAGGAAATCAGGGCACAGTTTAAGATAGACCCAACTTGAAGACAAACAAAAGACCAAATCCAGTCTTCACTGTTCAAAATGAATAACTTTGAAAATGAAGACAAAGAGACACCTCGAGTTAACCGATTACCACATTACCTAGTGTAGTCTGAGTTTTTGGAAAGTGCTGAACGCTGCAGAGTGATCCTGTAGAATATTGTTTAATCAACCATTTATTAAACAAATGCTAAGCTTTATCCTCCAGGTTTCCCCTCTGCATCTGGCCTCCCTGTCTGTTTTACTGCTTCCTTCTGTGTGTTAGGACACAGAGGTCATTTCCAGAAGGACGTCAACAAGGCAGAGACCGGTACCAGGGGTGCTTCCTCAGTCCTGGCCGCAGCACTGTGCTTCCCTTTCTAATTCTCCAGAATTCAAGGTTTCCCGTGAGTTCTCATTAGTCACAGCGTGCGTTTCCCAAGAGAGAGCTTTTGTCAGCCACAGCCTGCCTCGAAGGCACAGGTCACTGCACCGAGAGCCAGGAGTCGTGTGGGGATGCACTCAAGCCTCTCTATAATTTACCCCTCAGAGTCAACGCAGAATCTGAGTAGAAGCAGGATGCAGACTGTGCGAACGAGCTTTGCATAAGTCTGCCACCTCTCCTAGGACGCATGCTCAGAATAGCAGTTTTTACACCTTTACTGAAAGGTATTCTTAAAGGATATTCAAATTGTAGGACAATTCTGAGAAGTGAGGTTTCGTCAAACACCTTCAGCTGACATGTAGTATTCAACTTGCTAACTTGTTTCCATAGAAACAACCGGGAAACCATAGACACCCAGTGAGAGAGAGCATACAGAAGAGAATTGTTCTAGAAGTTTACCAGGAACAATCATGCATCATGGCTCTGAGAAAATCTAAAGCAGGAACAGACCTTAGGTGTAAGGAGAGTTTCCTCAAGAGCCACAGCCTCAAGCTAGCAGTGGTGGTACACACTTGCAATCCCAGCACCAGGAAGGCTGCTGAGGGTAGGAGGGTCACCACAGGTTCAAGGACAGCCTGGGTTACATAGTGAGTCCCTGCCTCAAATGAATGAATGAATACATGGCATGCATCATGTGTGAATGAATAAAAATATTTAAAAATCAAAAGAGCCGTGGCCATCTTCATTAGTGATATTCAGTCAAATTTAGAAGCTTATAAGAGGAACAGATGTTTGGGCTGGCAAGATGCCTCTGTCAGTAAAAGCGCTTGCCAGCAAGACTGATGACCTGAGTTCAATCCCTGGACCTCACAGGAACAACCATAATTATCGATTGTGCTACAGAACTCTGGAAGTTATTTTCCTGTCTAGCTGAACCTGGTAACCATGGTCTGTTCTTTGCTTTTTTTTTTTTTTTTAAGGTATTTATTTTATGTGTATGGATATTTTGCATATTTGTATGTCTGTTTGCCAAATGCATGCCTAGTGCCCCAGGAGGCCAGAAGAGGGCTGGGGATCCCCTAAAACTGGAGTTGCAGCCAGTTGTGAGCCATCTTGTGGGTGCTTGGGAATCAAACCCTGGTCTTCTGAAGAGCAGCCAGTGCTCTTAACACACCCTTTTAATGACCCAGAGTCTCATATGTAACAAACTGGCCTTAAACTAAGCTGAGGATGTGTAGTAGAATGTTATTTTAAGGTGTGTTACTTTTGTTTATGTTGCATTTGTTTAACTCTGTGAAGCTGTGTTACTGTGTCTGTCTAAAACACTTGATGGTCTAATAAAGAACTGGCCAATAGCATGGCAGGAGAAAGGATAGGCGGGGCTGGCAGGCAGAGAGGATATATAGAAGGGGAAAACTGGAAGGAGGGATCTAAGATCTAGGATCCAGAGAAGGAGGAGGACTCCAGGGGCCAGCTACCCAGCTACACAGCAAACCACAGAGTAAGGGTAAGATTTACAGAAGTAAGAGAATGGGAAAAGCCCAGAGGCTGGACATTCATAAGTAAGAATAAGCCTCTGTGTGCGATTATTTGGGAGCTGGGTGGCGGGCCCCCCAAAAGAGCAAAAAACCTCCAACAATAAGGATGACCTTGAATTTCGGATTCTGGCACTGTTTCCCAGTGTTAGGATAACAGGCATGCACCACCATGCCTGGTTTATCCTAGGGATCAAACCCAGGCCTTTGTGCATTCCTAGCAAGCATTTTACCTGAAACTAAGTACACCCCAGCTTCTTTTTTATGTTTTTTGGAGACAGGGTCTTTTTTCATTATTACATTTAAAAAATTGTATGTATGTTGTTAGAAGACAACTTGTGGAAGTGAATCTCTTCTGTTGTGTGGGCCCTAGGGATTGAACTCAGGTCATCAGGCTTCGTGGGAAGCGTCTTTACCCACGGAGCCATGTCATTAGCCCATGAGGCAGGATCTTGCTTGGTAGCCCAGGCTGGCCTCACACTCATGGCAGCCCTCCTGTTAGAACAAGCACTGAGATTAAAGGTGTGAGCCATTATGCCTGGCCCTCTGCGCTCAAGGTTATTGTCTTAGCTTTCACGTGGGTGAACATGCAGCATGTATCTGACCAGACCTGGGTTATTTTAGTTAACATGGTGTATTTTTTTTTTTTTTTGAGACAGGGTTTCTCTGTAGTTTTGCGCCTTTCCTGGGACTCACTTTGTAGACCAGGCTGGCCTCGAACTCACGGAGATCCGCCTGCCTCTGCCTCCCGAGTGCTGGGATTAAAGGCATGCGCCACCACCGCCCGGCAACATGGTGTATTTTACTTCTACCCTAGCCTTTTCAATTTTCTTAACCCCCAAAGACAATAATTCTAGAACAGTTGACTCCCTTGGGGGCTCCTGTGCTGACAGCTAATTAATTATACAGAAAGCCGCTAAGGTGAAAACCATGTAAAGCTAGGGGTTTTTTTTTAGTGGTGGTTGTGATTTTGCTTCTGTGTCACCATGGTCTGGTGAGGCTCTTTCCTTCCGTGCTCTCCCTGACTCTGTCCTTCTGTCTTTTCAGGGAAGAAGAGCCCAGACCTCGGGGAGTACGACCCCCTCACCCAGGCCGACAGCGACGAGAGCGAAGATGATCTGGTGCTTAACTTGCAGCAGAAGAACGGAGGGGTCAAAAACGGGAAGAGCGCCCTGGGGGAGCCGCCGGAGCCCGACTCAGATGCAGACGTGGCTGGGGCTGCGAAGCCCCACCTTTCAGAAGTCGTCCCAGAGGGGTGCCCCTCGGAACCGCTTGGGGGTCTGGAGCAGAAGGCCACCTCTTCCCTGGTGCCCTACGTGCGCACTTCTGTCTTTCTGCTGACACTGGTGATCTCCATGGTCCTGGTACTCCTCTGCGCCTTCCTCATCCCCTGTCCTCCCAGAGACCTGCATAGCACTTGGAGCCGGCGCCTGGGCTCCCAAGGAGGTGAGTTGCGGGATTTTAAGACATAGACCTGTAAATTTTCATATGTTAGTACATTCAAGTTTTCCTCCAAACCGTTTTTTTATATTTGAGACAGAGTTTCACTGTAGCCTTGGCTGGCCTGGAACTCACTCTGTAGATCAAGCTGGTCTTGAACTCACAGAGATCTGCCTGTCTCTGCTTCCCAAGTGCTGGGACTAAGGACATGTACCACTATGCCCGGCCTAATTTCTTTTGGGAGACAGTGTCTCATCACCGTCACCCTGACTGGATTAGAATTCACTGTGCAGAACAGATTGTTCCTGAACTTGTGCCAGTCTCCTGCCTCAGCCTCCCGAGTGCTGGTTTCATGGCTGTGCACCACACCACTATGCCTGGCTTTCCCTCCAAATCTTAAAAACTAACGTGTGTTATGTGGTTTTCCCCGCTGTGCATGGGGTTGCTCAGGAGGTGAAGGTTTGAGACTAAAGGCTGGGTTGCTGTGCCTCTGAGCTCTGCTCTCACCAGAGTTCTCTGAAGGCAGCTCCAGGTTACAGTGGTGCTGTGGGTCCAGCACCCAACTGAGGGGATGAGACATGGCCGAGGCCTCCAAGTCTCCCGAATATATCCCTTTCTGCCCCCCAAAATTTTGCTTCTGAATCTGTGCTGATTATTAATTTACTTCAATGTTTTGCCACATTGATATGTTCATTAATTTTTGTCTCTTTGAATTTTATATAAATGTAATCATAATCCCCTGTGACTTTTGTTCAACATCATTTTTGTTTTTTGGAGACAGGATCTTACTGTGAAGTCCAGGCTGGCCTTGGCCTTCCACCTTCCTGCCTCAGCCTTCTGAGTGCTGGGATTATAGCCACGTGCCACCACACCTGGGTGCCACCACACCTGGGTTGTCAGTACAAGTTTTGTTTTGTATTTTTGTTTCTGAGATGCCCCCCTGAGATGTAGGCTAGTCCTGAACTCAGTGTGTAGCTGAAGATGACGTCGAATCCTAGATCTTCTTGCTCCCACCCGGGGTTCTTGGGGTTACAGCACTCAGTGCCACTGACTTTACCCTTTTGGGAAAAAATTTTTTTCAGTGTTGGAGGTTGAAGCCAGGGCCTTGTGCATACAACATAAACACTCTACCACTCACATCATTTTTAAAGAGACATTTCTGAGACTAATCTGTACTGATGCACTGTAGCTAGAATCTATTAATTTTAACCAATGTCTAATTTCCCATGTTATGAATACCCCGTGATTTATTTATCTATTCTACTGTTGATAAACAGTTAAATGATTTCTAATCTTTTTTTTTTAAAAATAAGTGATTCTAAGAACATTTTTATACATTTCCAAAGGGTTATTTATATACAAATTTCTCCAAGGCCGAAGCCTAGTAAAGTTGCCCGTCAGAGGATGGGTGTGTTCTTTCTGAACAGTTCTTTACATTATTTGCTGAAGTGGTTGTACCAGCTTGTGAATTCCCTACAGATCTGGCAGGCATCCTTTCACTCCTCAGACACATGGAGGGGATCCTCCCTCGTCTCTGCTCCCCACACAGGGCTGGGCGGAGCTCCACACCTGCCTCCCCACCGCAGGTGGGATGGTCCTGGCTCCCCATGGCCATTTTGACCTTGGCTCTGGAGAGAGGGAGTGTGACATGATGGTGCCAGAGCAAGGTTCCAGAAGTCAGGTCCCACAGCCTTTGCTGTGGGTGGGGTGGGGCCGTTATTATCTATAATCAATTTGCCTTGCTGGGCTGCACCCTCCCTGGGCCTCTGGCCAGGGGAACCAGGTTTCTTAGGGCTTCTCTTGCCTGTGGCATTTCTGAGTTGCCAAGTACTTCACTATACCTTGACTAGTGTGGGCAGGAACCCCAGGGGATCCATACATTACCATTCCTTAGGTCTTGTAGTCTCCAGTCAGTCTCCTTTCAGAACCTGACTGTTTGCTTTACGTAGGATGTCCAGGTTCCGGGCAGGCCAGGGGAGATGCATACCTCTGCCATCTTGTTTGGGAACAGACAGTCCACCTGGGCCAGGAGGGGGTGCTGGCAACATCTGCATCTGTCTTCTTTCTAACCTGGCAGAAGAGAACTAGTCTGTGGTAACTGGCTCAGGCCCTTTTTGTTTCATTATGTGTACGCCAGGCGGGGACCTGTCTCCCCTGGAGTTGGCTGACGTGAATAGAGATGGCCTTCGGGACGTGCTTCTGTCCTTTGTGACAACCAGGAATGGGACTGAAGGAGGTAAGAGATACATCTTCTGGAGGCTGCCGAGGGGGAGGTGTCAGCCGAGAGAAAGCGATAGTCAGCTTCCCAGGGACGATGCACTAGAGGGTCTGCCGGTCACTACAAATTCACCATGCATGATGTGCCTCATCAGAAAGTTCCTGATGTAAATAAAGATCATTTCAAGAAGCCAGGGCCCAGAATGGTGGTGCACGTGCACCCCTTTTATCCCAGCACTCAGAAGGTGAAGGCAGGCCAGTTCCTGTAAATTCAAGACCAGCCTGGTCTACATATTGAATTCTAGGACAGCTAAGGTGAATGGAAGCTGGAGGGACTTTGAGTGGTCACCCAGGCAAATGAAGACACTGGTTCAGAGAAGTGACTTGCTCATACCTTGGAATGACAGCCTTAGTAATTAGGTGTGAGTGTGTGTGGTTTTTCCATTGGCTTAGTGGCTGCATCTGAACCTACTGATGCTTTGTGTCTGCTTCCCGAAGTCAGTGACCTTCTGCTCAGGCCAGGGCCTGGTGGGATGTCTAGTCCCACCAGCACTGGCTCTACAGCTTCTGCCAAATGTCATTTCTAACTAAATGTCATTTTATTTACCAATAAAGACTCAGGAGTCAGATGTTGGGGTGAAAACCTGCTAGCTCAGAGAGGCCAAGAAGCAACCAGCTGACCTTCCTGTTTGGCCAGAGACCCAGCAAGAGAGCATTTCCAGTCATCCCAAACCAAAAAGACCAAGAAAATCCAAGTCCCTCTCTACTCCTTCTTGTGTGTCTCTATCCAACTTCCTGGCTCCTCCCTACTCTCTATGGCTAATTCCTGCCAACTAGTTGCTGACTCTGCCCCCCACCCAAGGTTGATTTTATTAACACAGTCTCAGGTTTCATGGTGTGATTAAATATCCCACTGTGTGTGTGTGTGTGTGTGTCTGTGTTGGGGGGAGGGGCAGAGCCACCTCAGGTGTCATTCCTCAGGAACCATCCACATTATGTTTTGAGACAGTGTCTCTCACTGGAGCTGGCTAGCAATCCTCAGAAGCTACCTGGCACTGTGATTCCAAAAGAGCGCCACCTCGCCAGACTTGTTTATGTGGGTTCTGGGGATTGAACTTTGCAGGCTTTCTTGCTTGTGTAGAAAGCGCTTTACCAATGGAGCCACCTCCCCAGCCAGTTTTCCACTGCCCACTAGATTGCAGTGAACGTTGAGTCTACCCTGCCCTCACAATCCTGGCAGGGTTGGTCATGGCTTATACACCTTTGCACACAGATGTTTGGGCAGGTGGCTTTCCTTTCCCCTCTCAGTTTAATTCTCCAGGTTTGCCCTCCCTGGGAAGGCTAGACAATTGGAGGATATTTAGGCTCCCTGGCTGGCTGGGAGTGAGAGTGAGGAGGGACTTCCTGCCCTGGCTTCCTCATAGCTGGGTTAGAGCAGCATGGCAACAAACTTGACCACTGTCAGAGCTGGTGGCAAGCTGGCCCTCTTAGAGAACTTTCTTTCTGGATTCAGTAATCTCTTCTTCCTTTGTCCCTGGGGGCATTAACAGCTCTGAGGGGCTATCCTGCCACTAGTGGGGTCCTCCACCCTGACACATCTTTGTCAGTGGTCTCCTTATTAAAGCCTCCATAGCTTACACTAGCTGAGCGTGCTGTTTCTGGGACTCTGTTACACAGAACAACCAAAAAACAAGCAAAAATGCCTCATTTCCATGATGGTTCCACAGGGTCCTAATTTACCTGCAATATCTACTAAATTGGCAATGGCTGTAGCATACCAGCTGATACAAGAACCCTACCTAGAGGGTGAAGAAATCCTGGGAAGTGCTTTTTTAATCATTGAGGCCCAGAGTGAAGGCTGGGGATGCTTTAAGGATTTCTGTACTGTACATTTGCCTGATATTACTAGGAATGCCTTTCGGGAGCATGTTTGATTATAGAGATGTGACTCTGTGACAGAGAAAGCTTCTGGGTTTAGGCAGACTTTCTTATGCTCTTAGCTTGATTTCATTTTCCTGGTCTGTGATTCATTCACCTTTGAAGTAAGGTTAAGGATACTGAAGTTATTTGGTATTCTGCCTACTTTGCTTTCTGTCAAGATGCAGAGACCAGACTAGAGTTTGGACACTATGTAGACAAACATGGTTTGCCCACAGATTGTAAAAGTAAGGATGTAATTGTTTTTGTCACTTTTTTTTTCCTGTGACGAACACAGCATGCCCAAAAGCAATGTACAAAAGAGTTATTTTGGCAATGAGCTCTCAGAGTCCTCCCTCCCCTGGTGACATACTTCCTCCAGCAAGGCTTCACTTCTCAAAGGTTCCATAATGTCCTCAAATGGTGCCACCAACTAGGGACCAACCGTTCAAACACATGAACCTGTTGGGGACATTTCTCATTCAAACCACTACAGTGACCATCACTAGCTACTTCCTGTGTGTGGAGCCCTGCTGTAGACACACAGCACATTGAATGAATTTGCTCCTCAATACAACCCTACCAAGTAAGCTAATATTATTGTCCCCTTTTCCAGATGAGGAAACTGAGATACACTGAGGCTAAGGAAACATTTTAGAGTCCCACATCTGATAAAAGGTAGAGTTGAAGTTCAGCTCCAAGAATCAGGTTCTGTAGTTCATATCCTCAACCCTCACACCTTATGGATGTACCTCTAAACCCACAATGCTTTGTGCCACTGGGAAGAGAAGGATAGAACTAGTTGCTCATGATTCATCCAACAAGCATGCATCGGCTGCAGCAGGCACTCTTCGCCCTTGCCTGGGTTGTGCTGATTAGGGAGCTGCAGTGTCGTGGGGGGGGGGGGGTGCAATCCTTCACTCTACCAAGAAAGAAACATGAGTCAGAGAGTGACTCTAGACTCAGTGGGGTTCTTTATTATTATTATTTTATAATTAATTTAATTTTACATATCAGCCACGGATTCCCCTGTCCTCCCTCCTCCCACCCCCCAGCCTTCCCCCCCAATCCACCCCCCATTCCCACCTCTTCCAAGGCAAGGTCTCCCCTGGGGATTCAGCTCAGCCTGGTAGATTCAGTTGAGGCAGGTCCAGTTCCCTCCTCCCTACACCAAGGCTGAGAAAAATGTCTCAGCATAGGCCCTAGGTTCCAAGAAGCCAGCTCATGCACTAAGGACAGGTCCCGGTCCCACTGCCTGGGGGGCTCCTAAACAGTGCAAGCTAATCAACTGTCTCACTTATCCAGAGGGCCTGATCCAGTTCCATGGGGGCTCCTCATGGGAATAGGAAGAAGCAGAGTGCTAGAGAGGTCCCCAGAAATCCACAAAGATACCTCCACAATAGACTACTGGCAGTGGTCGAGAGAAAGCCCGAACTGACCTACTCAGGTGATCGGATGGCCAAACAGCCTAACTGTCGTGGTAGAACTCTCATCCAGTGACTGATGGAAGCAGATGCAGAGATCCACGGCCAAGCCCCAGGTGGAGCTCCAGGAGTCCAGTCGATGAGAGAGAGGAGAGATCATGTGAGCTATTGAGACCATGATTGGAAAAAGCACAGGGACAAATAGCCAAACTAATGGAAAAACATGAACTATGAATCAGTGGGGTTCTTAAGCAGAAGAAGAGCACAGGACTAGACTGGTAAAGTCTAGAGGGTAATACCGATTACTACCTCTGGCAGGAGGTCGAACATGGCGAACCACACCCTGTTTCCTGTTTGAGGCTGTATTGTTTAGTTAGCACTGCCTAGGAACAGGAAGACTGAAGCTTTGTCACTGACGTTGGCTGAAAGTAGAAAGTGTGAAATGAGTCAAGCTGTCCGTTCCTGAGAGAGAAAGCAACGCTGGCAGGAAGTTGAGCTGTTCTTAAGTCCCGGCCTTAGCTGCTGTGGTTCCGACTCCTTGGCCCTGGGTCTTGTCGTCCCAAGTGTTCTTTTCCTGCCTAGGAGCCAACCAGAGAGCTGCAGACAGCCAGGCCTCCTCGCTGCCTGCTACTCTAACCTTCAGGCAATTTCTGAAAACACCCTTTTCTGCTCCCGGAGCAGCGTTTGCTGCTGGTGACTAGGGTTGGGATTTACTCCCTGCTCTGCATGGATTCTATCTAGGTCAGCGTCTGTGTTCCTGAACATTCCTTTCCCTCCTGAGTGGCTGTTTTGTTTCTCCTTCAGCAACTACTACTCAGTGTTCTGTCTTTTATTTACTGTGTGTGTGAAGGCCAGAGGACAAGTTGTAGGACAAGTTGTACCATGTGGGAATACTGGAATAGCGCTGGGGACCGGGGCCTGAACTCAGGCCATCAGCCTCGGCAGGAGACGACTTTACCTACCCTTTTGCTGGCCTTACTCTGTCTTTTGCTCAGCAAACAACTGGCTGCTTTGTGTTGCAGGCATCCTATGATGTGCTGAGAAATCAGAAATTAGTGTCTGTCTTCAAGGATGTCACTGTTTAGTGTGGGCGCAGGTGGCTGACAGGTAAACAGATGTGTTGGGAAAGGTGCCAAGATGGAGACATGGTGAGGTCGTGTAGAGGAGCCCACAGCGGCCGCTCTTACACTTGTCCTACACGAGGTGTGAGGTAGGAGAGATGACAAGTTCTGTGTTCACGCCTTGTCAGAAACACAGGAGGGAGCTGAGCACACACGTGTGAGCTGCCGCCTCACCGCGCACGGTTCGCTTTGCGTTTTCAGGTGTCTTGCCTGTGCCTGCCACTCGTCTCTTCTGCCCCTTCCTCATCTCTCCTACCTGCCTTTAGGTGGTGGCTCACAACCAACTGCAGATCTTGTGTGCCTCTCGGGGATGAATGGCAGCACACTGTGGTCCAGTCCCCTCCCAGAGGAGGCTCAAGATGTCACATGCTTGGATCTGATGCCGGGAAGCATGGCCAAAACCATCTGCCTCGTGACAGGGACACGCAAGATGCTCAGGGCATTCAATGCGACGTCAGGTAGAGTGGCCTTGAGCTTGCCTCTGCGAGCCTCGGGTTTGTATTTAAACAGCCTGCAGGGGAGGTTTGTCCTCGGACAGGCTGGAAGCTGCTTTGCTGCTCTGGTTCAGAAGTGATTATTAAGGAAACGAGATAAGGGGCTTGGGCAGATAGTAGACTCTTGTTGCAACCAGTTTGGTGGTAAGCTCTTCCCCCAGACAGAAGAGCCTGGGGGTGGGGAGGCTTGGATTGTGAATAGTCTCTCTGCTCTGTTCTCTGGGCAACAGGCAGGGAAGTGTCACCTCCTCTTTGAATTATGTGGGTCCATGTGTGAACCTGCGTACTGACTGGATACTAGGGAAAAGAGCTAGGCTTGGGGAGGCTGGTGATATGGCCTTTTAGCTTCTTTTCCTTCTTAGGTCCACAGACCAGAAGTGATGGAAATGAGTCTAGAATGATAAAGATGTCTCCTTACAATATGCTTGTCACAGGGGCCATAATCTCAAGAGAAGCTGACATCTTTCCCACATCAAGTGCCATTGTGGGGTGCTTTATTTTTACCCCTCCTTTTTGAGACATGGTTTTACACTGTACCCCAGACCTTGAATTCATTAAATCCTCCTGCCCCAGCCTCCCAAGTGCTGGGATTACAGGTGTGACATGCTTGGCTAGTGGAGTACCCCTGAGTGGGGGAAATTTGTATATATATTTTCGGTAGAGCAATTCCTTAGCATGCATAAAGCCCCTGTTTTGATTCCCAGCACCACATAAACGGGGCATCGTAGTGTAGCCCTGTGAGCTCAGCACTCATTTAAGAGGTAGAAATAGGATCAGAAGGTCAAGGACATCAAGGCTAGCCTGGGTTATATGAACTCCTATATTTAAAAAAAAAAAAAAGACACATACTCCCTTAGCTCAGGACTGAAGTTCTTGAAAGCCTTCTGCAATTTCTCTGGTGTGGGCTCCTTAGTGGCTGCAATGCCCTGTGGCAGACACATTCCTCAGCCCTAGTGGAATGAGCTCCTACTTGCCAGGGAGACGTACATATCTCTGTTTGCTATACAAAATCCAGATGTATGGGACCGGAGAGATGGCTCAGTGGTTAAGAGCACCGGGCTGCTCTTGTAGAGGACCCAGGTCCTAGCAGCACAGGGTGACTCACAATGAGCTGTAACTCCAGTTCCAGGGATTCTGATGCCCTCTTCTGACCTTCCTGGGCATCAGCATACATGTAGTGCATAGATATACATGCAGTCAAAACAGTCACATACATAAAACAATAAATTAAAATTCAGACGTGGGGTTGTTGCATGGAAGTGTGGCCAGACGCTCGAGCATCTTGAATCCCACTTCCTGCTCCCTTTGTCCTCAGACGAAGCTAAAGGGGAAAGTGGGGAGAAGCTGCTGTCCCCTGCTCAGCCCTCTGAGTTTTCTTTTTCTGGCTGGGGAACGCTGCGGCTGCCTTTTGCTGGGGCAGAAAGCGGAAGTGATCTGCCTCTTTCTCCTACCCCAGGGAAAGTCATGTGGACCCTGAACCCGAACCATCTGTCCAATGGCACCTTGGCCGCCCCAGTTGTGGTGCTGCCTGACCTGGATGGGGATGGTGCCAGAGACCTGGTGGTGCTGGCCATTGGAGAACTGCAGGTATGCTGTCTATTTCAGAGGTTTTAAATTTCTTATGGAGAATGCTTCAACTGTCTTGATCTCAGTTCGAGTGGTGTTATTGTGAATCCTGCCTAGGACCTTGTTTTTGTAATGGCTTAGGCTGAAATAGATTCTCTTGGTGAGGTTAAGTGAACCGAGAGCATTCCAAATTCATTTTCCATGATGCCATTGTGGTTCCAAGGACTGTGGTGTGGGAGAGCTCTGGAGGCAGATGGCCTATGTAAATTCCTTCTGCACCACTCTGTAGCTTTGTGGCCTTGGGCAAACTGTACTCTAATGATGTTCCTTCACATGTCAAACTAGAAAGTTCTATCTCCTTGTAGGAGGCTTATGGAAATTAGAGCTAACAAATTAAGTCCGTAGAAAACTGCCTATTTTTTACTCTATAAATATAATATTAGTTTTACTATATTGTATGCATTTAAAATTGACTTCAACTGTAAAACAGTGGGTTGGGTTGATAGAAGGCTCATAGGATGCAGGCTTTGGTTATAGCTCAGTTGGTAGCATGCTGGTGTAGCATGCATGAAGCCCTTGTTTGATCCCCTGTTGTAGCTGGTGATTTCTCTGGTCCTGCCTTGCCCAGCAGTCCAGACGAATCTCTTCCTCCTGAGGTTCCACAGCTGCTTATAAAATAATTACTCAGATGCTTATATCAATTACAAACTGTATGGCCTACGGCTTTAGCTTCTTGCTAGCTAGCTCTTTCTTCTTAAATTAACCCATTCCTATTAATCTGTATGTTGCCACGTGGCTGTGGCATTACCAGTCTGCTGGCATCTTGTTGCTCCTTTGGCAGCGGCTGGCATTTCTCCTGACTCCATCCTTCCTCTCTCTGTATCTCTGCTTGGATTTTCCACCTGGCTGTAAACTTTCTTGCCATAGGCCAAAATAGATTTATTTACTATCCAATGGGAGCTACACATATTCACAGCATACAGAAAGACATCCCACAGCACCCTGTACTGCATGGATCAGGTGTGATGGTAATACCTACACTTAGGATCAGAAGTTCAAGGTCATCTTTGACTAGTAAGCTTGAGATCAGTCTGGGACACAAGAGACCACATCTCAACAACAATAACAACAACAAAACTCATATGCAAGGGATTCACCTTGGTAATCCCAGCACAAAGGAGATTGAGAGTTCCAGGTCAGAGTGAGCTACACATTAAGACCTGTCTAAGAAATCAGACCAAAAACCTCTCTGATTCATCAATGACCAAAGGAAGGTGCTGGACAAGACAGACTTTCAGTGTGGATGTGGTAGTTTACGCCTATAATCCCAGCACTTGGAAGGCGAGGCAGGAGGATTGCTGTAAATGTGAGGACAGCTTGGTCTACTTAGTAAGTTCTAGTCTATCTAGTGCTCCACAGTAATGTCATGTCTCAGTTCCTCCCTCCTCCCTCTAGAAAGATAAACTTTGACTCTAGCCCAGTGGCCTCCCAAGCCGAGTGTATGCACTGTGAAACAGTTGCCCTGTAAACATATACAACAGATCTTTTCCCTAGTCAGATGAAAGACTAGATTAATGAGTGCTTATCTCAATGAAAACTTTTGTTTGTTTTTTGAGACAGGATCTCACTGTGTAACACTGGCTGGCCTCAAACTGACAGAGATTTGCCCGCCTCTGCCTCCCACAGTGCTGGGATTAAAGAAAAGAGGACCACCGTGCCTGGCCTTCAATTTTAAAATTTTAAAAAAGCTATATTTATTTTACTGTATATATGGATGTCTGGCCTGCATCTGTATACCTGGTGCCCTTGAAAGTCAGAAGAAGGCATCAGATCCCCCGTGCCTGGAGTCACAGATGGTTCTGAGCCGCCATATGGGGGCTGGGAACCAAATTCTAGTCCTCTGCCAGAGCAGCAAGGACTCTTAACTGCTGAGCCATCTCTTCAGCCCGTCCATTAAAATTTTATTTGTAAGCCAGGTTTTAGAGGCAAAGAGTTTGTGGTAAGTGTGGTTATTTTGGTTATTTTGTCTCATTTTACTACTTTACTTACTAATTTACTCAGTGTGTGTGTGTGTGTGTGTGTGTGTGTGTGTGTGCGAGCATGTGCATGTACCAGCCTCAGTGTGCATGTGGAGATCCGGGTTGCCTTGTCAGAGCCAGCTTCTCCCCTCCCACCATGCAGATCCCAGGGATTGGGTTCTCAGACTTGGTGACAAGTGCCGCCTTTACCTCTGGGCCATCTTGCTGATCCAGCCCATCTTAATTTAAAATGAGTTTTACTGGCTCAGTCTATTTTATTTTTATTTTTGAGACAGGATCTCCTTATGTAGCCCTGGAACTCATGATATAGACTAATTAGCCTCAGACTCAGAGATCTGCCAGCCTCTGCCTCCAGAATGCTGGGATTAAAGGTGTGCACCATCATGTCTGTCTCTTTTAACTAATATATATATTAATATATTATATATTAATTATATATTAATATATAATATATTAATATATAATATTAATATATAATTAATATATATATATATTCACCCATAAGTACTTTTTGTTAGTTTTCTTGAGCTAGCTACTTTGGTCTTTAGATTATCCTAAACCAAGGATCCAGGAATTGTTCACATGGTGTTTTTAAACTTTTTATCCTAGCCACTATGACTAGAAGGGGAAATCCATTATTCCCCCTTAGGAAGTGATTTCCTGAAAGCTGGAGAAAGTGTGGGAAACCCCTTTTGATGGAACCTAGTTCTCACAGCCCAGCAAGTCACCACACATGGGTACAGCATCAGCACATTTGGAGAGCTGGTTCTTTTGTTTGAGACTTCTGGGGACAGGATCACCGTGTAGCTCAGGCTTACCTTTAACTTGGACAGTCTCCACCTTCTTGTCTCTGCTTCCCTAGTGCTGGGATTTCAGGTGTCCACCACTGTGACTAGCAGATATCTTAGTCTTAATGCCTCATCTGCGTCTTACGCCCAGTGGTGTTGAGGGGCAGTGGGCCAGGCTTTCAGGACCCTCCACACTAAGGGCCCTTGTTGGAGAATCAGCTCACCTGCTCTTAACCCTGTGTTTCTGTTCCACCCATTGCTCAGCGGGCCTCACGGAATTTACTCATTCGAGCCGTAGTGTATAAATAATAGAACGGTCTCCATTCTGCCTGAAAGTGATAGTTACAGGCTAGTCCCAGAGAGGCCATGGGTTTAGAACAGCCCCTGCATATCCCCTGCTGGCTCCTTCTGACCTCTGTGTTGATTGCAGGCAGTGTGAGGAGCCATTTGAGCTGCAGACACAAGAGAGGGAATATATTTAGGGCTGTGACTTAGAGTGGTGGAATTCTTAGATCTGGGTGGAGTGTGAGCTGAACTTGGCAGAAGGGCCTGCTTTGGGGCGTGGGGACTGGTTGGTCTAGAGTGTTTGGGAGAAGGGACCTGAGAAGCCTGTAGTTATTGTCTTCACACCGTGTATCAGTCTGAGTCTGTGCCCAGACCCATGGTCACACGTGCTCCTCAAGCACTCAGGCTAATGGGAATGTCACTCCGTGTGAGGATCCCCATTACCTGTTAACCCCTGAGCTGTTTTTTTTGGAGGAGATGTTCATCCTAATGACTTCCATTCACTGTTACCACCTCAGTGCCATTTGGCTGGCATCTTGGATGAATCTGATCTCCACCTAGTTTAGGAAACCCAGTGGCTGTTAGCCTGGTCCCACTAAGCTGGTTACCCCAAAGGCTAAATATCCAGTTTTTTATACAGTCCTCTCAGACAGAGAGTCCCTTTTCCCTTGATCCCAGTCTTTCCATATGTCCTTTAACATATGGTATCCACATCTGCAAAGAGTTTTTTCTGTTCATGGTTATCTCAACCCAAGGATACTAATAGGTTTTCTGGCCTCTCCCGCCATAATAGGTTTCTCCACTGACACAGTAAGCCAATCAAACCGATTTGAAAAAATATAGCAACAGGTTTATTTGAGCAAAGCAACCTTCGGGCAGGTTCTTCAATCCCAGAGATGGTCCACACCCACAAATGAAAGCAGGGAGACTGTAGGATATAGGCAAGGTACAATGATGTGTCTGTAGATGGACTTTTCTTTCCCACCAGCCAGTTCCCACATATCCACAGAGACTTAATATTAATTTTAAATGCTTGGCCGATAGCTTAGGCTTGTTACTAGCTAACTCTTACATTTTAAATTAACCCATATTTCTTATCTACCCTCTACCACATGGCGGTACTTTCTTTTATTTATTTATTTATTTATTTATTTATTTATTTATTTATTTATTTATTTATTGTTTTTTTGAGACAGGGTTTCTCTGTATAGTTTTGGTGCATGTCCTGGATCTTGCTCTGTAGACCAGGCTGGCCTTGAACTCACAGAGATCCGCCTGGCTCTGCCTCCCGAGTACTGGAATTAAAGATGTGCACCACTGCTGCCTGGCTGGTACTTTCTTTTAACATGGCGTGTTCATCTTGCTTCTCTCTGCATCTGCTCATGACTCTCAAGACTCCACCCTTCTTCTTCCAAGTGTCCTTTGTGTCTTTCTGTCCCACCTATGCCTTCTGCCTAGCTACTGACCGGTCAGCTCTTTTATTAAACCGATCAGAATGTGCCTTGGCAAAGACACATCTTCACAGTATACAGAAAGATTATTCTATAACATTTCCCCCTTTTTGTCTAATTTAAAAAGAATGTTTTAACTTTAACATAGTAAAATTATAAAAAAAAAACCAGTTATCAAGTAAGAATTACAGTTACAATATCCAGTCTACTTGTATTTGGCAAAATTGGAAAAAATAATCTATTATGTATCTTATCTTTGTGAATCTAAAGTTTTATCCCTAGTTTACTTTTTATCACAACTAAAGAAAACCTTAACTTCAATTATTTAGTCTTTAACTCCATCAAAGACCCCAGAAGGATGAAATATTCCCTAATGACAGGGACATTTTGCTTCCTGGACAATCACTGAAAGTTCTTCTATAATGTTGGGGTATCCAACTCTGGCCTACAGGCCTAGA